AGCTCAAAGGTCTTGAGTCTGCAGTATCTTCCACATAGTCATGGGAAGAGTTCCAACGTCTTGAGTCTGTTGTGTCTTCCACATAGTTATTGAAAGAGCTCAAAGGTCTTGAGTCTATTGTATCTTCCACATAGTCATTGAAAGAGTTCCAACGTCTTGAGTCTGCTGTATCTTCCACATAGTCATTGAAAGAGCTCCAAGGTCTTGAGTCTGTTGTATCTTCCACATAGTCATAGAAAGAGCTCCAAGGTCTTGAGTCTGTTGTATCTTCCACATAGTTATTGAAAGAGTTCCAACGTCTTGAGTCTATTGTATCTTTCACATATATATTGAAAGAGCTCCAACGTATTGAGTCCATTGTATCTTCCACATAGTTATTGAAAGAGCTCCAACGTATTGAGTCCATTGTATCTTCCACATAGTTATTGAAAGAGCTCCAACTTCTTGAGTCTGTTGTATCTTCCACATAGTCATTGAAAGAGCTCCAACGTCTTGAGTCTATTGTATCTTCCACATAGTTATTGAAAGAGCTTCAACTTCTTGAGTCTGTTGTATCTTCCACATAGTTATTGAAAGAGCTCCAACTTCTTGAGTCTGTTGTATCTTCCACATAGTTATTGAAAGAGCTCCAAGGTCTTGAGTCTGTTGTATCTTCCACATAGTCATGGAAAGAACTCCAAGGTCTTGAGTCTGTTGTATGTACTCTGCTTGTTGGCACCAGTGTTAAGTGGGTGTTAAATATGTCCAAATAAATGCTTCAAAGCAAGCAAGGAAACTGATTATGATGGGAGGAAACTCGTGGGCGTAGTTCGTGAAATGACTGCCATCGACTGTCCTTGTGTTGATGACAATAAACTATTAATAAAGACAGGACAGAACCCAAAGTTGTTACAAAAATATTCTGCACTGTCTTGTTATTTGTTCAGGGGGCACATTTCGTTTTTTGTGAAGTATGCTCACAGGGAAGTTGATGGCGCCAAAGGTGTAATATCTAGATGTACAAGTCGGTGACACATTGCGCTGAGTAAGAAAGAAAGCAAATCGCTCGCGGTCTCAAGACGTCTCTCAGGTCATCAGCTGCAGTGTCTTACAGATATAGGCATACAAAGAGAACAGAGCCCAGAGAAGTTGGCCCATTGTATCCTGACGGACTCATGGTTTGCTTTCAGACAGTGATATTAAGTCACGTATTGAGAGGAACTATTAACGTTGCAAATGATTCCGTAAAACAGCACCAGGAGCATTTTAGCATGTATCGGTTTTATAAGACCTCGATAAAAAAAAGACGTAAGCAATTCGGCAGTCTTATTGTTAAACGGTTAGGCCACAGGCTGAAACTGTCTATGCATATTCTATCTGGTTTTATATCTGAGAAGTTACTAGGATTACTTACTGAGTATCCTGTACTATGCACAATGACATCCATTTCTGATCTTCTAACGACTAACCATGGTTAAATTCCTGACGAACTGTATTTTTCAAACAGTGTGAATTGTTTTTTCAAACTGTGATTCTAAGTGAAAACATGCTGATGGGAATTATATTAAGTCATGAGCCCGCAACAAGCACATTATATATTATGTTTCTTCTGTACATATTTTGTATATTTTTTTGGTCATTTTCGTTAACATGAACATCGTTACAGGTAACACAATTCATCATCGCATTTATAATACATACAATTTTCAAATCGTTTAAGGATATCGAAATATTGAAAATATTTCATAGTTAATTTCACTGCGGTCAGTCATGTGTCGCCGTAGTCGAGATCGACTATTACACGTCTTCAACATCTCCCGACACTTGTTTGAAACCCGCTAGAGACACATATGTTCAAACAAAACGTAATATCATTCACTTTATTATAAAAATATAAATATTGTTATACTATATATGTGTACAATAATTGAAATATGGGCTACAGATAATGTAATAACACAGCGATATCCCGGATGTGGACAGGTTGGAAGTCATATTCAGTTGAATAGTTGACAAACCATTGCCCATTTGTGGAAAATAGACTATTTTGAAAATGTGCTTTAAGCGTGTGTATTTGACTTCTATGTGTGACGTTTCAACAGCATTAGGATGAGTGATATATCTCAGCGATATCCCGGATGTTGACAGAGGTTGGAATTCATATTCAGTTTACTCAAATATGACACTCCGCTGTATCAACATGATGTATGATGGAGTTGTGGAGTTTTCACACCTCCTTGCTCACTGGCGTGAGCGTACATGTTATAATATAAACGGAATCGTATAGCAGAGATTTCTTATGACAATGGGAAGCGTTTTGTCGCTTGCATTTACTACAGTAGAATAAAGTAAGGATAAACTGGCCGGTGCACACGTGATTTGACACCAGTCCATCGGCGACGGGTACGCACTAGTGAAATGTATGCTAGCATGCACAATGCCAGAAACATTCGCATGGTAAGGTGTAAATGCTGAAAGGACATTGTTGTCGACGTTGTCCACATGGGATTGACGTTAAAACTAGGGCATCTGATTGGTTCCAGATGAGGTGAAATGGAGTTTAAGTTCGCGTTCAAGGTTATTGCACTTACATTACGTGGGTGTGTGTTTGTATGTGTGTCTGTGACATACCACAAATACCCCACTCAAACACTGTATACTGACTCCGACACGACTAGTCCTTGTTTACCCCCTTAACGCTGAGCGCCAGGCAAGGTAACAACAAGTAACATCTTTTAATGTCTTTTGTATGACGCGAACTTCCGCTCTCCCGGCAGACGTTTTATCCACTAGATCACGGAGGCGGTCGATTGGGTGAAGAAACATTAATAGACATAAATTATTTTGAAACGTTCGTTATGTCGCAATAGATTCTGACGTTAGTCCATTGTGATGTTTAAATGGTCCAACTAAAAACAAAGTACTTACGGAAATGAAAAAAACCCTGTTTTCGATCTCAGATTTTAAATAAATGCAGTTAATATACAAAATATATAAATATTCAAACAACTCAATTAGTACTAATTGGGCCTTGGCACAAATACAGCGTATCAAAGGTTTTTATGTCTTTTTACACGTAAAAGTGTGTAAAAATATCAACAAAACAGACTATTGTGAAACTGAGCATAACCAGGTGTTAGTATATTAAGATGAATGTCCATGACCTATGACACCTTGACGACAGGTGAAAACAGGTGCTTGAAACCCACGTTCATGTGATTTGTCAGTGGTTAGGGATTTGTGAGTGGCATTGTGGGATAGTGAATCATCGTCAAAATGTCAGAACGTAAAAGTAACATATTCCCTTCTCAAACAACAACTTACGTGTCATTATTATTATGTACATAAACATAGCTGTTAAATTTATTGTTGCTTTGATAACTTTTTACAGGCTAATTTGCATAATGCCTATAGCCTGTTTCTGCCATGTCAATTTGGACTTAGTTTTATTTTTGAATGTTGAAAGTGCCTACAAACTACCTCCTGTAAAGTACATTTTGTATTGAGCACTGAGATAAAACTAGCAAATCCAGACTAGTACTTTTCCAGTTGTTTTGTTATTTCTTATTTACATCTACGTAATGCTTTGTGTCGATCCAGCAAAACATTTTTTTTCCTTTCCATGAGTACTTTAGGGTTTCTTTAGGAATTTACAGTGAGTACATTCTAAATTTAAATGGCATAACAAGTAATAAATTACTTTCTCGACAAGGATACAGAAAAGTTATGTCTTGTTAAATGATGCCATGTTTCAGCAGAGATAAGTTAAATGATTACATCGCTTGTAACAGTATTGTGGAGCTTAGGGTGCCATTTAGAAATTTACGACATACACCCTTCAAAAAAAGAAACGCACAGGTAGATTTTTAGTAAATTTATTGTACCTAATAAAGTCGATATATTTAATTTAATATCATAGATACAAATATGAAGTTTTGGAGCTCGATAACCACATGTGGTCGGTGTACAAAGGCATTGAAAACTGTTCATTGTCATGTCACATAAGGCCACAATGTTGCGCTGAACTCAGTATCTCGTGTGACCGCCCCGGGCAGCAATCACGGCTCTGCATCTCCTCAGCAATGACTAGATAAGTGTACGAATTCTGTCCTAAGGAATTCTGCGCCATTCTGCTTGTAACGCGTTGGCCAGTTGTGGGAGTGTCTGCGGCGTGTTCTGACGTTGACGTACACGTCGATCGAGTTCATCCCAGAGGTGTTCGATTGTGTTGAGACGCAGCGTTTGTCGAATATCAGGCCACCAACATTTTCCAATAACATATATACAATTTATATACCGGATTTTTTGTGTAGTCAGGTTCAACGAACTACATACTACCTGTGCGTTTCTTTTTGTGAAGAGTGTACGCAAAATATTCAAGCACGGATATGGAACTGACAGATCAAGGAGAAAACTAGGGGCCCCTAGCAACCCTAGCAACCTATGGATCAGATTCCTCAAAGCAGAATGCAGTGCCTTACACTACCGGGCAGCAATTGCCCTCCTTTATTAACCCTTGAGTGATAATTCCTAATTGCATGGCAGAAGTACGCAGTGCCCAAACCTGCTCTAGTTTTCACATCCTGTTCTTTGCATGCCACATTGCATTTGCCGTGAGGTGTATGTTCTGAAAATATCTTAGTTAATAGCCAATAGTAATTATTCAGTCAGAAGGTAGATTACACCGTCACGCTTTTATTTAATAAATCAATAGTCTCTGACAGACACTCGCGTCGAGTCAAGAAGAAGTGGTGACAGAACTTTATTATCTGTATATCATATTTTCACAAATATCAATTGATATGTCTCCTCACGTTAGCGATCTCAAGGTCTGTCAATTATATTTGGTTTAGCTTCACATTTTGCCAATAAATATCGACGTTTCCTGAACAGAAGACAATATTCAATTTACGACCACCATTCCTTTCATACATCTAGGTCTGCGAGAACGCGAACTTCCTAATCATAATGATTGTACTTTCCTCACTGACGACATCCCGGTAAACGTTGTAGCAAACAGACTTTACACCAGCTTCTCGGAGAGAACCTAATTGCCAGCAGGCTGGTTATCTGTGATCGATCAGTGTGGAACCTGTTTACCATGGAACGCTGGGCTGTGTGTTAGGTGTCGATCACAGCTATACCTATATATTATATAAGTCCTACAAAGGGATACCATGGACTTTTTATCAACGTTTAACTTGTGCGACATGGAGCTTGCACGAGAAATTCATATTATAGCTTGTGTCTACTACACATACAAAATCAATTATTTCTTCTCATCATAAAGTTGCTTGAAGGATGGGATCTTCTGCTTGAAGGATGGGATCTTCTGCTTGAGGTCTTGATTGGTATCATCACACAGTACTATTAACCTAAAGATTTCTGGAAGAAGTACTTGAAGATGATGTTTGATCGCAATCCCGTTTCTTGATGTTGTTTACACTAACAGTTGTTGGAAGGTTGAACAATGGGACCAACGGTTTGGTTGGTTGCTTATGTGACCTTGACTTAAACATGAGTTGACTGCTGGCTCTGTCCCAGGAAACACCTTGTTCGTTAAGCGGTAGCTAAACCGATTGGTGAGACGGAACACTAGCCAGCTCTACTTCTGTAATTAATAGAATTAGTGTATTGGAAAATGTTCGATTTCTGTTATCCATACCGGGATGCCTACATCTTACTCATGCATATGCAAATGGATTTGTCAGTTAAGGAGAATTAGACCTATACACAGGTGACTTTACCGTGAGACATAGAAGGAACCATAGGCACATTCTGTAGTAGAGTACTTCGCCATGGGAGATACAACCTATACCGAAGGCGGTGCATCTTCCGCCTCCTTCAACGCCTCGACCAAAATATTGGAGAGCCCAATGGCAAGTTTATTGACTTCGCCTGAAAGGACAGTTGTCACTGGATACCTTATTTTCATAGGTAAGCAATTTGTACTTGCTTTCTTTTGTATATACTTTCTTTGTGTCTTTATTTAAAAAAGTACAGTGTGCTAATTATGTTTCCTAAATATTTCCTCTTTTTCTGCTGTTTATGAAATACTATTTTCATGTATTGTTTCTGTACAATATATAAAATGACGACAATATCATGTATTCGAGACACGTAACTGTTCTATCTCACACCGCCTCCACAACTTGTTGCAACCTAAAGGTATAATATCCATTAACATATAAAATTATATCATTCATTTCTCGTTGTATTTCTCATTGTGGCCATGTATTAAATGACCCGTGAATATCCAGGATAGAATAGGTCTTCAGCAACTCATGCTTGCTGTAAAAGGCGACTATGCTTGTCGTAAGAGGCGACTAACGGGATCGGGTGGACAGGCTCGCTGACTTGGTTGATGCATGTCATTGATCTCAATTAAGTGGATCGATGCTCATGATATTAATCACTGGGTTGTCTGGTCCAGACTCGATTATTTACAGACCGCTGTCATAAGGCTGGAATATTGCTGAGTGCGGCGTTAAACAACAAACCAACCAACCAACCATGAATAAAATATTGTTGTATCTTAAATCATGCCATTGGAACATAAAAATGACACGAAAGGCTAAAAAATCACAGACAACTTCCTGACAGAAGAAGTCACATTTGTAGACATGTATTATTATTATTATGCACATGTCATGTTTGACAATATGGCAAAGGAGCAATGAAATGTATAAACGATCTCCAGAAGCCCTTTTCTAAATGATCTCTAAATAAAGACACTTTCCTTACAGCACTAATCTTCTAACACATGCTGTCTTTCACGTGTGCTAGGTCAAACATATTATTCCATAGAGCACATGATACCATATTAATTATAAGTGCAAGTAGGGTACAATAACCAATACGATCCAATCACATTATAACGGCAATGTCGACTGAAAGGGATGGTGGGGTAACTTGGTCCGTCACGCAGACAACCCGAGTTCGATTCCGCACATGTGTAAAGTCCATTCCGGGTACCCCCGCCTTGACATTGCAGGAATGTTTCTAAAAGTGGGGTTACACCCAACTCACTCACCTTCTCCCAAGCCCTCTAAATCACATGGGCCTCTCAGGTCCCATGCTTGTTGTAAGAGCCGAATAAATGGGAATCGACATTGTGACTTGGCTGTTGCATGTCATATTGGACCATTAACCATAGTTTCAGTCACTGGTTTATGTGGTCCAGACTTGCTATTATACAGAAGATTGGCACCAGTGGTATTCAATCACATATACAAACGTTGTTGGACGTTCTACATATTCAGGTTTAGTTCTCCTGAAACACATTCTCGATTCACCTCAATGATTATGAAGTGTTACATATAGAAAACCCTTTTACTGAAAATGCTTTGTAAAACATTTATCGTCAACCATAGTACATATGTCATATGGTTGCATTCAAGACTCCATGTATGTCACATTAATAAATTCCAATGGGACGTTTAAAGAAAATATGAGAATGTTTTTGCATCAAATGCAGTAAATACTTGGGTTGAAAACAAAATGTCTCAAGAAACCAGTTGGTAGAAATATACTTGCAGTTAATGTTATAAACTGTAGCTTGTACACTCGTTGACACTGAACTACAATATGGCATTCTATTGTGAATCGATCTACATGACCTATCTTAAATTGAAGCATTTCATCAATCTTAAACATATGCCATTTCAGTGCGAATCGCGAGTATTTGTCTTCATTAGACAGAGTAGTATTGGACGTTGGCTCCGCTCTCTAGAGAACAACAGCTATGAGGGAGTTAGTTGGGCTTAACGCTGCTATAGGTAGTATTTTAGTGTAACATCAAGTCGTGGTACCTAGGTGTGGGAAGAAAGCCGAATCGATGCAGGCCTTATATGTTAAACACTTGTATGAAACCAGCGAACAAATGGATGGTGCTTAGAAAATCGAGAATCATAATCAGGACGAATCTGTAGTGGTAGACGAAATGAGGTCAATATATACGTTACAGCGCCATCACCGTCTACCTATATGCCGTGTTAAATGAGAAAGGCATATTTTCATATCAATTGTTGAATAGGCATTACCTAGAAGTTGACGGATGACACAGTGGACACAATTTATGGGTAAAAACGTCTTTATTGCTGTATTAAAGAAGTTGTTTTCCATAAATTGTGTCTACTTTGTTTTCATATCAAGTTTAATAGAACCTTGAGAGAGGTTGACATGGTATGTCAGGACGACCCCAATCCCATGTCTTCCTGAAGTTCGTCAGAATTGGATAATTACGAATTATAAAACAATATATATAGAGAATCTCACCCGAGTGTCTTTTGATATCAAATATATGAACACGAGTTGATAATAGTGGAAAAATTCCGAGGCTTGCCGAGAATTTTTGCCACTTTTATCAACGAGTGTTGATATATTTGATATCAAAAGACACGAGGGTGAGATTTTATTTATCATCCAACATTATTCGTTCAACTTTTCCAATTTGTAGACAGTAATTAGGAATGTCTTCAGTGTAAAAAGTACTGCAAACAGCTTCAGTAGCAGAGCCATTAGTGATGTCATTTGATTGTGACGTCATGTTAACCAGTGACATCACAATGGTCTGCAAAGCATTGTGATGTAATTTCATTGCAGCGATATCTACAGTGTAGATATCACTTGATCTCATCCCAGCGATATCTCCTGTGGGAGCCAGTTTTTTTATGATAAAATGTGATCCTTGGTTAGCCTGGTGGGATGGGGTTGGCCTGGCTGATTATATGAAAGCGACAAAACCCAAAAGGTTATATTGTAGAGCTGTGGAGGACATTTCCAATCTTGAAGCATCAGTGACAAAACTGATGTGCGATGCAATTAATTATTTTGACATGTTCACGTGTTTTAAAGGTGAACAGTTGATTTGCCTTTGCATGTGTTTGTGACGGGTGCCACCGGTTGGGCAGGATATATTCACCTTTTCGCAAAACAGTTGCTATCATCACTTTTCGATAGTGATTCATAAACACATGCTCATGAGAATTCCGAGTCGTACAATCGACTGTGGTTTTACCAGCTATTTCTTATGAATATCGAAAGGGTTTTGTCGCGTTTATTCAAGAATTTCCGATGACAATTTTATTTTGTCGATAAAATCTCCACCGCCACACCCGGATTATCAAATGGTCGGATCGTAAGATACGACTTCAACCTCACAAAAGCATTTAATTTATTAATTATAGTAAATGGATTAACCGTTATTTCCGTTACACTACGCAGGAAGCGGCGCTCATATCGCATTGATTCTGTGTCACAGGTGAAACATCAATAGCATGGTAGGTTCAATGATTCTGGCTTGTAGCATTTAGTACAATAAACTAATCGTGCAATTATGCAATAGTCAGTACACCGTTATCTGGCTTCACCATATCTTGTGTGTGGATCACATCGGCAAACTGTATTTCTTTTCATTCACGTCATAGAATTCCATGTAAAAATCGTGACTTGTAAAATCAACATAAGATACATATTAAAAGATGTTTAGAAACGCTCTTCAGCTAGGTTACAAAGTCGAGGGCATTCTGCCAGAATGTCCTTGGTCTGGATACTAGCAACTGAGTTTTTCTGTCTTTCCTCTAATTGAAGAAAACATAATAACAATTGTCGAGTATGTATGACATTGTGTTGATGATGCAGTGTGTGCGAGAGGGGAATGCCAAATGCGCTCAATACATGTTGAGTGAGTGAGTGAGTTTGGTTTAACGCCGCTTTTAACAGTTTTCCAGTTATATCGCGGCATGTCAGCTTAATGTGGGGGAAAAGCCCGAAGTGATGCAGGTCTCAGACGTTTACTACCTCGGTGAAACCCACAAGCACGGGCATGGTGCTGACAAACCTAGAAACCTAATCGGGGCGAACCGGAATTCGAACCCACAATCATAGGTTTCTGGCGTGCCCAAAGGACGCAACTCTGCACAGCGAATCGCGGCGCCTTAGACGACTGGGCCATCCGTGCCCCCTCAATACATGTTGAGTTCACGTACGGACTTTTTGACATCCATGACAAAGTCAAATTACAATTTCAGTAGTTTACGATAACTTATATGTGAACATTAAGGTTATTGTTGTTGTTTTCAACATCGGAATAAAAGCGACAAGAAAATTTTCTTAACCACAAGAGTTCTTTGTGTCATTGTGTCTAAATCACGAGCATGTGTCTATGAATCACACTTAGTGATGACAGGAGTTCGCGATATATGGTACCACCATGTACCTGTATGTCGAAGTGTTAAATGAGAGAGGCTTCTTTTGATATCAAATTTTGGTTTGGTTTGGTTTGTTGTTTTACGCCGCACTCAGCAATATTCCATATATATGACGGCGGTCTGTAAAATAATCGAGTCTGGACCAGGCAATCCAGTGATTGACATCATGAGCATCGATCCACGCAATTGGGATCGATGACATGCATCAACCAAATCAGCGAGCCTGACCACCCGATCCCGTTAGTCGCCTTTTACGACAAGCATAGTCACCTTTTACGGCAAGCATGGGTTGCTGAAGACCTATTCTACCCCGGAATCTTCTGATATCAAGTATAATAGAACCAAACATCAAAGCTGATTGCATGGGATGTCATGACGACCCAAATCCCATGTCTTCGTGAAGTTGAAACAGTATAAAACTGAACTTAATATGACCCAAGGCCTGGTGATTCTTAGTTTATTGATAATCCATGGTACGATTTTAACTATATGTTGTACATGTAGTTATGAATCACAATCACATAGTAATGATACCAGGTGTTCGCGAAAAGGTGGACTTCTCTTGCGGTATCGGTGACTCGGCCATCAGTATCAGATAAACTAACCTGACATACATCCTCACGTTGTAAGCCTGAGCTGAGGCATTACGTTTGCATTTTGCATCTGGTTATTGTATTTCCAGAAAAAACTGGAAAATCCCCATAACTCAGGATCACACACAAATAT